TTTTATAAATCAAATTAAAACTTTTTTCTTTAAAAATTGCACAAAAATATTTTTGGATTATCGAAAAATTGTCTTGGCAACCTTAATAATATACAAAACAAATTTTTTTTGGTCAGATATCCATACAGATAAGAAACAACTATTTTGAACTCCGAATCATTGTATTCGACCGATAAATTCCTAAAATATGACGGATTACTCTCACACATACACACATGTACACACACACACACACACAGGAAGAGAGAGTTATTTTTTTAAAGTGGGTTTATCAATTAAAGTTATTAAAATCGTGTTTTTAAGAAAGCTTGATATTTTACCAATGCAAAGCTTTTAATATGAGAAATTAAAAAAAAAATTCAATTGAATCATTGTAATGTAAGGGAAAGAATACAATTGTATTTTTTTTTAATTCACATGAATAATTCTAGTATTTATACACTTAGCTTACCCAGGAAAATATTAATATTTGGATGCTTGAGTACAGATGCATTCCACAGTTTATGGTATGCCTCTTCATAGTTATCGGTGCGATCTTCATATTTTTCGTGAACATTATAATATTTTGTTCCACACTTGTCTAGCCAAAACGTTTGATAATATTTAAAAAACATTTTAAAATGATCACCAAAATCTTTTCTGCATTCCTCAACTATTTCGTTAAATATAGTCTGCACTTGCAATTCTGGAAGTACAGCCAATCCCATATATTATACTTTTCAATATTATGTACACCTCCGGAGTAGTTTTCTTTGTTTTTGTAGGACCTACGATGTGCAATTTTTTGGCTTTTTTTTGTAAGGACTGAAAAAAAGAATTAATAATTTATAGTTTTTATCATGCAATACCGTAAGTATAGAAGTAACAATCACTCAGATTAATGCAAAGTAAACATGTTAGAATTGTATTTCATCTTATAAAGAGTGAAAGTCTAACATTTTTATAAAATGTATGCTGGCGTTTGCGTGACTGAGTGCGCATGTGTGGATATACGTAATATCTTAGGATCCCAGAAATTGATGTTAACCATGTAAGTCTTAAGGATTTTGTTTCACAGTATTTTCGTTTCGATGTTGGCACGTACAATTTCATACACTGACACATTTTTGAATATGTTTATAGAATACAAGCACAATTTTTTTTCATTTTTTTTATTTCTACAGCCATTGGGAATACTATGGCTCTATTTACGTCATTATCATTTGATGAAGAAAAAAAACCTCTGATTAATTACCAATCAATCACACAGCAATCAGAATCGACGTTTAACACGACTTCC